TTTTGAAGTCAAGAACGTTTTATTCTAGGCTGGCCCCAATAGCCTTGGCAGCACTGGACCAACTCATCAAGAAGCAAGATACAGGGACTGTGGAAATTAGTCAATAGGGCATTGTGGTCTCAATTTTCTACCCATTTCTAATTACATTGCACATTGACTTTATTTTTGTCAGAATGCAGATCAGGATGTCATTAGGGCCATACTGGGGTAAAAATTTCTTGGTTCTTATCTAGGCCAACTGTGATTGTCACTTGTTAGAGATAGACACTCATGTCCAGAGAGAGTAGGACCACAGCTATGCCTACTGCTTCCAACTCGCACGGGAATCTGTGGCTTTGGAAGCCAAGTGCCTCAAAACAGCTTTCTTACTGTAGACAATGACAGCAGGATGACCCATGGTCAGAAAGTTGCATGTTAATAACTTCAGAAATCCAGAAACCAGTAACTTATACAGAAAAAAAATTAACTCTTGGTGTGTGTGTGTGTGTGTGCGCGCACGCGCGTATAATTGTCTAGGATACCTATGAACAACTGTGTGATCACGACAGCAATAAAAATAATAATTGCTAACACATAGCACTTCATTCTTTGAAAACAGAGAGGCAAAGTTACTTGCCCAAGGTCACACAGCTCATAACTGGAAGAACCAGAATTCCAGCCCACGCCTACTGGTTCCAGAGTTCTTGTTCTTAACTCTTGGATATCCTACTTCTCACTTTTATTTAGTTGGCTCTACATTAACATGACCAACACATAACTCAAGTTGTGTTTTTAGATCCCAAAATGACAGGTGATTAGTTCAAACACAAATAGACTGGCCCACCCACGGAAGAGAAAACATTTGAATTTAAATAGAAAAAAAATAGTTTTAAATTATGGTTTACAATCACTTAAGCATATGGTCCAGAAATGGTAGTGCTGATATATGTAGATAGATGTTTGCTTAATAAATCTGCATCTCATTTCTTGTTGAATGCTAAGATATTTTTTAGACCTCAGTGCTTCATGGTTTCAGTAGTATTTCTTGCAACCCACTAAAATTTTCCAAGAATTAAGCCTTACCTCCTGCCCCTCCTCAGACTGCAGTCTGCACATGCCACCTACAGGCATAACATGATGCTGGTTTTCTCCAGAGCAGCCAACAAGATTGCTTAACTGACTGTCATCCCTAAAAACGCTGGGAGGCAGAGTGGAAGTCAAGGCAAAGGCAAGGGGGATAGTTAGCACAAAACCAGCGACACTGACAGGGACAGCAGGGGAGAATAAAGAACATGGTAACTAATTGGGAGAAAAGGAAACAGAAGGGTTACCTCCATTAACCTAAAGGCTGGGAAAACTAGGAGTACAGCAATTACAGACTGGGAATAGAATTTATCGTTTATCTAATTCCAAACCACCATGTGCTCAGGTAAATGACTGCAATGCAAAAGAGATTCTTCTAGGAGGGCAAACCAGGAAACACAACATAGGCTTTACAAAATACTACACATTCTATGGTGAACCTTCTCCCTCAAGTCCAGCAGACTCCATTGTTCTGTTTCTGGTGCTTACACAATACCTTCTTAGTGTAAAATGACAAAACAGCCTGCAATTCCATCTCAGGCACACCTAGGATAGAAGAGGCAGATAGAGAAAATTCTTCTAGTTTTCCCAGTCCCTATTTTAAAATAGAAGCTTCAGGATTTCCAAGCCTGGTCCCAAGTGAAAAAACTATCCTCTAGATGAGGAGCTCTTTGCTATTATTATTATTCACTTTCTTTCTCTTCACATGCACCGGCTTGTTGACTGGCTAAAGAATGGCACACCTACCATTTCACTTTAAAAAAAATTCTACCTTCCCCTTAATCACAACTACAACATTTCAGATGCTCTGGTAAGCAGTATAGTATGTGGAAAAAGTACAGATTTTGGAGTTAGGCAAACAATCCTGGGTTTAAATACCAGCTCCACCACAAGGCATCAGTGTATTTTAACTTTAGTTTCCTCCTTCATAAAAAAGTGGGGGGAGGGGCACTTACACTCCTTCCCTATCTCATGCTGCAGGAATAAATAGGGATAAAATATCTTAAGGACCAGAAAAGGTCATTATAAATCTGTCATGTTTCTTTCTCCTCCTAATTTATATGAAAAAAACAAAAACTCCGAAGTACTCATTATCTTTGCTCTTTATTTGTCAAACCTTCCCGGAAGCCTATTGTGTGCCAGATACAGAACTTAATAAAATAGGTGTGGTTGTCCCTGTCCCCATGGAACTACAGGGGTTGAGGGGAGCACAAAAATAAACAGCTCATTGTTGAGTGAGTGGGCGAATTTGCTTAAACTAATGAGGGAGGTGAGGACTGAATAAAGGCTCCATTCCGGTAAAAGGAAAGGAAGCTAAATTTAGAGTACTCACTGTGAGCTTGGAGGCCAGACCCTATGAGGGTTTAATTCTGGACTCCATCCGCCACTGGGCAAGTTTCTGAAATTCTCTGTCCCTCCCTTTCTTCTTCTCTAAACTGGAGATAATGGTAATTTCCCATTGGGTTTTTGTGCAACTTCCCTCCCTAACGTTCCCCACTTCTTTGTGGGCATTCATTCCGTTTACCAGCAGGCTTCCATTTAGCCTCTGACCATCATGAACAGTCAAGGAAGCACCCTGACCCAGAGGTCATCCATGACCAAAAATAAAAACTGACAGCCCACCCCCAACCTTCCTGGGACCTAACGAGGTAAAACATGCTCTGGACCGAGCTACCTAAAGCACCTTTTGAGGATATGCCCAGGCTTAGGGGTTGACAACCAGGAAACCAGCGCCTGCAGAAGGTGTGGTCCTCTCCTCAGGGAAGTTGATTAGGATGAGCTGGGTTTCTTGATTAGAAAAATGAGGCGTCTGAGCGCCAAGCTCAGCCCAGATGCTTCTGGGGGCACAGCCTTTGCATTCCCACCTGAGTCTCCTGAAAATCTGACCTCCCCCATTGGTTCAGCTGAGGCAGCAGTCCTTGAAGAGAAGGGCAGAGCTGGAGAGTAAAGGAAGGCCCAGGAAGTCCACGGTCTGGGAATCACCTCGGTGTAGCCAGTTACTGGCACAAACGCATAAGCCACATCCCTAAGTGTCCTCCTGCGCCAAATCATGGATTTTTTCAGCCAGGGGTCAGTCTATCCAAAGCATTTAAATCTGGAGGTAAAATGTTATATTAAAAGTGCTAGGACGACACCCTCCAAAACAGAAACAAAATCTCTTAAAGCTTCTTTTTAATTAAAAAAAAAATGGACACAAGAAATACTCAAATCAATAATAATAATGAAGTTACTTCTTAGCTTGACTGTCCTGGACTGGAATCCCCCTTCCTTTGTCCTGCCGAGGGCGTTGGGGCCAACAGGTGGAATCTAAAACAGCCCTGAAACCTAGAAACAGGAGGCGCGCGCGGCCCAGGTCGCCATGGAAACCGAGGCGAGGGCGGATCCCGGCACGTGGGCGGGATCGCGCAGGGACTGCCGGGTAGACGCCGGAGTGGCCGCTGTGGGCTTAGCGAATGTTGAGTGTAGACAGTGACTTTCGGGGTTCCCGTGTCCTGCAAGAGGATACACACCCTGCGGGGACCCGGAGAGGGAAAAAGCAAGTTGCTTCCCAGCCCAGAACCTGCAAAGCTGCCAGATGTGCAGAGTCACCTGTGCGGAACCAAAATCTCACTGGTTAGAAACTCAGACCCCCGTTCCCACTCCTGGGCTGATAAATCAAATAAATCTCCGCGGCGAGGACCCAGAATCTGGATTTAACCAGGTGCTTCATAGAGTCGGGAGGTTGGGAGACCCCGCCTTCGCCTAATCTTTTTACTCAACACCACCACCCTATAATGGTAAAAGAATCCGCACCCCAGTATCCTCCCTAGCGCCCCTCAAAGGCGGGAGGTGAAGTGGGGGTGAGAGGGGCTGAGGAAGGTGGGGGGGGGGGACGGTCCTTGGACTCGGAAATGCAGAGCCCACTCAGTTGCTGAATTGAGGTTTAGTAAGCTGCTCTTTGCGGGTTTCCCACGAGGGGGCAGTGTCGTTCTTCATGCCGGTGCATTGCGCACAGCAGTGGTCCCAGGTGTTCCTTCCTGTTCATTGTGGCTGCAGTCTCCTTAATACAAGCTCGATTAGAGAGCGGAGCTGGATGCTGAGAGATATCTCCTCAGGAGGAATGGGCCGGTAGCAGAGCCTCAGGCTCTAAACGTGAGAAGCTCTGAGCTCCAGTTCTTGGTTTACACTTGAGGTTGAGAACAAAGAATCAGGCTTGCGAACAATAAGGTTCTTGTTGAGAATGACACCTGTGCACTAGTCAGATTTCTCAGCCCTCTGAGCCTCATCCTTTACTGGGCAATGGGATGAGACCTCAGGATTGATTCAGCAGCCCCAGCCCTGGCTGGACTTGAAAACTAGGTCTGGGCCCTGGAAAACCGAAAGCCTCATCTGCTCATTTTCTGGTGAAATGTGGGAGGCACTCGCTTCTGCACTAACGGGAATCCCCATGCTCTAGTCCTCCCTGACAGTAAAACCTAGACCTGTAATACAGTGGGGCCTTGACTTACGAGTTTAATTCGTTCCGAGACCGAGCTCGTTAAGGAGATCCTTAAGGAGCTCCTTAACTCAAATTACTCTATCAACTCAATGCAAAAAATCGGCCGAGAGACAGCTGGTATCTCAAAAAACTCGTTAGTCAGGACACTCGTAAGTCAAGGCCCCACTGTATTTACACAGCCTCCTTTAGAGGTCTGGGGGAGGCTGAGCTCAATAGAAGGGGATATCTATGGGTCTCTACTAGCCTATGCGTTTGCCATGCCTTTTTATAATAACCTGTTTATAGGTCTGAATTCTGTGTTACTGCTCCATACATATAAGTAATCACAGCTCCTTCTGTATTAGCCTGGAATGTACTTCTCCAATTCAGACTTCTGGATCGTGAATTGTTAAAACGGGGTGAAGGGACTGAGATGAGTAAGGCCAGGTGAGCAGGCCACAACATGCCCCTTGAGATAATAGTTGTTTCACACAAAAAGGGGCCCATAGTCAAATAAGGGTGTAAAACAGTTTATTAAATGTATTTATGTCAGGGCTTTTTTTTTTCAGAAGCTTTCCTAAGTTAGTGTGCATTGTGACTCCTCAAGATAAAGCAACTATAGGCAGCATTTCTCACACTTACTTCCCATGGCGCCTTTTTTCTAAGAGGGACATGCAGAGCACCTAATCTGCAGGGCACACCTTGGGAAACACTGAACTGGAGTGACAGTAACCTCCCACAAGTCTGTGTAAGGTAGCATGGTACAGAGCTGTGCCCACGTCTGGTTTTTCAGCAAAGTGATGGCAAAATAGATTTGGGCTGCCTTCTTCAGGAGAGGGATGGGAACAGCCATTTGAAAAACAGAGGATGAAGAATTAATTTGCCAGGAGGACACGTCAACAGTTACATTTCAAGTGCTTGATATTCTTTAGTTTCCAGGCAGACCTCATTTTATTACATTTCACTTCATTTCGCTTCACAGATGTTGCATTTTTGGTTTTTTTTTACAAATTGAAGGCAAGACTCTCCACCAGCCAAAAGATTGACTTGCATTTACTGCAACGGGCTAAAACTGGAACAGCGACATTTTGAAGTATGCCTGTATTTAATCCTCACAACCACTCTCTGAGATTTCGGTTTATACCCATTTTAGAGAAAAAGAAACTAACACTAATTAATTAAATATCATGTCTGAGCTTGTGTAGGCAGGCCGTGATAGGGCTGGTATTTGGAGCCAGATCTTCCTTGAGGACATTGCAGAACCCAGGCCCTGCACCAAGGCAGCCAGCAGGGGATGGGGGGGAAAACACTAGGTTTCATTTTCATGGTCACCTGAGCAATTAGTGCTGAAAAGTGAGGAAGAGAATAGTCAGCTTTCAGAGAGTGAGCCGAAGGCCCCGAAAGTTGGCTTTTGGTGGTGGCAGTATCTAAGCCTTCTTCCAAAGGCTTATGGTCAGGAAAAATTAGGAATTTATTAGACTAGTGTCAAAGCAGTGACTTAGTAACTGACAGAATTTGCATAGAGTCAGAGGAGAGAATCAAGTTTGTCTTTGAATTTCCTGGTTTTGTTGAATGGGAGAAGGAAATGCCATTAGTCAGGCTTGGCAACAGGAGAACCAAGGTTTTTTATTTATTCTAAAAAAAATCTTCTATATTTTCGTTATTTTTTGTTTTGTTTTGGTGGAAAGCTAATGAGTTAGCCTTGAATAGAATGAACCTGAAGAACCAGTGAAATATTTAGGTGGACCAAAACAGGTGAAACTGGGCTGGATTCTGGATTATACCAGTTTGGACTGCAGGTGCTACTTAAAATCATTAGCATAGATCGGATCAGCTGGAGAAAATGTTTTGTGATTTAAGAGGACAGACATTTCGGGACACCAGAGGAGAAAGCAATTTGGAAGGTGACACCGATGATCCTTTAAACTTGTTCTGAGTTTCCCATCCTTTGCCATGCTCTACACAGACACAGAGCGGTAGCTGCTGTGCAAAATGGAGAATGGAGATGGCAAAGTACAGAGGGATTTCTTTGTGCTAAGGCTCAGTTTCCAGAAAAAAGTATGACTTTTTAAAACCCCAGGAAATTTCTCTCTCTCTCTCTCTCTCCCTCTCTCTCTCTCTCTCACACACACACACACCTCTCTCTCTCTCTCTCTCCTCCCCCTCCCTCCCTCCCTCTCTCTCTCTCATGTTTTAGGTTCACAGTCAAAGAAAGGCTGAATCCCCAGAGTGAATGAATCAAAATAAACCATAACATAAAAGTCTGTGCATTGAGTATGCTCTTAAATGCTTGCTATCGTGTGTATCCTGCAGGACTCATGAGAAGGCCCATTTAAGCACAACAAAGATGCTTTCAGGAGTTCAGGAGGCTACCAGGTCAGCTGGTGGAGTTCCTCCTGGAGCGCTCCTCCCCCTATCAGTAGGCATGGCCAGAATGCCTTTTTGTCTGCAGATCTGGCCCGGAGTTAGCCAGACTCAAAGCACACATGTCTGGCAGCATCGCTGTGTGAAACCGAATAAGAAGTCCCAGTGAAAGTGAGGATCAGAAATTAGAAGCTGGGAAAGGCACACACACTCAGCTGCTGAAAGAAAAGGGCCTGGGGCCTGCCGCTTTCATGTATGGTTACAATGATAAAATAGCAGGGGTAGCTAGTGGAGGTCAGAAAATACCTGACAGCTCTCAGACTTGAGTAACTCTTTGATAACAGGCAGTATCCAACCTTCAAAAAAAAGTTTATTCCCAAAGTCATTTGTATGTCAGTTGTTTGAATCTGGAAATGCTTTCATTGTCAGAACAGTTCCTATAATTCATTTACCCTCATAGGCATTCACTCATTCTGTAGTAGCCAACAGATACTTAATAAGCACCTACTGTGTGCCCACTAGACTGCTAAACATATAGCAGTGAACAAGCAGCCAAAAATATTCTTGCTATCATGGAACTTCAATGCTAGTGGGAGGAAACAGACAATAAATAAATAAGAAATGATTAAGAAACGCGTGTTGTACATTAGATAATGATAAATACAAATAAGGAAAAATAAGTAGGCTTGGGGGAAAGATGTGTTGAGGCCTGTGTTCCTGGAAGGCCTTATTGAAAAGGGAACATTGGAGCAAGGACCTCAGAGTTGCAGAACTCTGAAGATATGTGGGGGATTGGCATCCAGGGCTGAGGGGAAAGTAAGTGCAAAGGCCCTGAGGTGAGAGACCAAGGCATGTTTGGAGACCAGTAAGAGGTGGTGTGACTGGAGTAGACTGATAGGTAGAAGAATGACAAGAGATGAGGTCACAGAAGCAATAGGAAGCCTAGTTCTATAGTCTTGTTTTCCTTTTTCTCTGAGATGTGAACCTGTTCAAAGGTTTTGAGAGAAAGCTTGAAAAAGAAAGTTACGAAGAACAAAATAAAATTACCCAGAACCCTACTGTGCAGGAATATCCAGTGTTTGATAGCTTTGTATTTTTATTTTTTCAGAATTGGAATAATGCTAAATCCTTCAATGTGGGGCAAAGGGACTGAGCAGAGGGTCTCTCCGACGTTCTGCTCTAATTTCTCACAATAAAAAAACACCCATCTGCCTGTGTCCTAGGCTTTCTGCCTCCATCATCTGTCTACCCCTAACCTTCCCCATGGCAGCACTGAGTGCGCATGTAGGGGACATCCTACTCTCCTTGGCTGCATGACTTCTCTCCTTTCTATTCTTTCATGCCTCGTAGTTGGCTCCAAATATCCAATCAATTCTGACACACAGCCTTGCAGTCCTGTGCCTGACCAGCTTTTGGCCATCTCAGAGGCCCCTTGGCATGGTCCATTGCTTTGGCCCAACAACATTAAATGTCAGTCTTCTTTTCAACTGCATACAGTTTTTGGATTCTCTGAACAGTCTATCATATCTCTGGCCTCCAGCCCACAGGTGCTGCCAGTGGATTACATTTCCAAAAGTTTGGCCTGTAGGCCCAGATCAAATGTAAGCTGGATGTAAACTGCCTCCTTCTCTGTAGACCTCAGGAGCTGCCCCTGCTCCACCATGAGAAGTAGATCTCGAACTTTGGCTAAATCCTTTCGCAGGCATGCTAATTCTCACTTGAAGGAAAGAGTCTGTGTTCTTCCAGGAGAGAATTCCCTAAACAGCGCCATTATATCCTCCCAGGACAAGAGGAAGGCCACTCCCTCTGTCCTCCTCTCAGACATCCCATTCTGTATAAGCAGGACTATGCTTCTTTTTAATCTCTGCCTCTTTGCTTGA